CTCTTCAGGACCCGGGCCTCGTCCAGTGCCCCAGCTGGGGGGTTCACCGTGACGAAGAGCTCTCGCTCCTGGAGGCTGGGGGAAGAGAAAGAAACGGGACGGGCGAGGAGGGCTGGGGAAGGAGGGGGAGGAAGCGGAGGGGTAGGAAAGGTGGAGGAGGAAGAAGAGAAGGGGCAGATCATGATGATGCTGCTGCTGCTGCTGATGACGACAATGATGATGATGATGATGATGATGATGATGATGATGATGATGATGATGATGATGATGGTGATGATGATGAGGGGGAATACAACGAGGGGTAGGTCGACTCCGATCATGAGGCTGACGCTGGTGATGGTGATGGATGATGCTGATGATGATGATCATGATGGTGATGCTGATGCTGATGATGATGAGGATGATGGTGATGCTGCTGCTGATGATGATGATGCTGATGATGGCGATGATGATGCTGATGCTGATGATGAAGATGATAGTGATGACGATGCTTCCTCGAAGCGAGGAGGCTAGGAAGGGAGACGGAGGACTAGGAGGGATGGAGGGGAAGGATGAGGAGGAGGAGGAGGAGGAGGAAACCGTGATAATGCTGCTGCTAATGGTTGAGACGACGACGACAGTGATGATGCTTTTCTTTTCGTTTCGTTTCGAAGCCGCAATGTGAGCAAATACCCCCGGGGCCCGATGGCGCCAAGCTGGAACTAGATACAAACGGTCGTACATATGTATATCAAGTTCAGAACACAATCCGAGCTAAGCTTAAAGCCACACCCTCCATGACAACCCAACGACTACCATCAATGCGCAAGCGTTCGCAATCACACACAGAAGAGATGGCACAGACATGACAGAGGGAAAGAACGCCGTACAATGCAACTGCAAATGAAAGCCCACACTCTACATATAGTCGGTTTTGCCGCCCAGCGCCAGCTCCGTATAGCGAGTTCGCGCACCCAGAAAGTAATACTTCCGAACAAAAAGACGGGACTCAGCACGCAGCGCCGTCCTCATAGAGCTTCCCATCCTGGAGAGCACGAGCGAATACGTGAAGCTATAGGTCTAAACGCAGCTCCATGAATTATGTGTGTATGATTTCGGTGACCTCCTCGCAATAAGCCTCGTGATCAATCTCGATGACGTGCGCGAGAAAATTTGCCAAGTGCTCGCGGGATGCACGGTGAAGACCAGTGCCAATCGGAACTATAGAGCACGCGCGATAAATCTTCCAGGGCAGCGCATGTCTGATCAATGGGGATGCCACTGCCAAACTGCCATGAGTGCGCAAGCTCGGACGGCGAGCGGCTGAACGTCGGCGGTGCGCATGCGGTTCATGAACAGGGTGTCACCAACACCACGTGCACGACTCCTCATTGACGCACGCCCTAGCCTCGGCGCGCTCGCGTTGGCCACCTCGCCCTTCTCGGACCACTCTTTGGAAACCTTCTAGGCCAGCGCCTTCTCCTCGGGTTCCTCCTCCTTCTCCGACGGCTCAATCTCTTGGCCAGCCTGGTCGGCCCTCCGCGGCTCGCGATCGGCACCGTCGCCGCGGGCGGCTGGGGCCGAGGCTCCCTTGACCTGCTCGTCGACGCTCGGCTCCTCCTGCGCCGCGGTCTTTCCCGCTTCGGCGTGCAAGGAAGTCTCTGGTTGATCGACACTTCGCCGCCGCCCTGCCCCGCGAGGGCGCTGGCGATGGGGGCGGACGGGCTCGCCTGGGCGCCCATAGCGGAGGAGGGCATCGGCATCGCGATCACGTACGGTAGTCTCAATGCAGTGCTTGTGGCCAATCGCATTCTCTCCTCAAATCGGTTCACCCGCTCGCTCATCTTGCGGTTAGTTTCGCGCAACTCCCAGACCGACTGCCGGCCCCGACCGATGACAGAGGGCTCAATGCGTCTCGACATGCTGTGGCAACCAAGCGCGCGCAACTAAAGTTTGCTCGGGGTCACTCGCTCGCGGCCAGCTCAAGCCAGGGCAAGCTGGAGCCAACATGATGATGACGATGATGATGATGATGCTGCTGCTGATGCTGCTGCTGCTGATGATGATGCTGAGGATGATGGCGAGCCCCCTTCATGTCTTCGTGCCTCTGGAGAGCCTCGCGGAGCGTTGGGGGCCATCTGGGCACGGCGCGAACGCGGCTTCCCGCGCGACCCTCGAGTCCCCGAGGCCCAAGAAGTCTTCGCTTCGAGGCATGTTTAAAGTGGCAAGCAACATTCGGGCATTGGCAGAACTGGGTTTAGTGGGACCTGGTTTAGTGACGTGTACTGGGGGACGCCCCCCCCCGCCCCGTTCCACTAACCGGAGCTGTCGTCACCCGAACTAACACCAGCTACGGCAGACCTGGTTTAGTGATGTGATTCTGGCCAACTTAGGGGTTCCGAGGCACCACTAGTAGTAGTAGTAGTAGTAGTAGTAGTAGTAGTAGTAGTAGTAGTAGTAGTAGTAGTAGTAGTAGTAGTAGTAGTAGTAGTAGTAGTAGTAGTAGTAGTAGTAGTAGTAGTAGTAGTAGTAGTAGTAGTAGTAGTAGTAGTAGTAGTAGTAGTAGTAGTAGTAGTAGTAGTAGTAGTAGTAGTAGTAGTAGTAGTAGTAGTAGTAGTAGTAGTAGTAGTAGTAGTAGTAGTAGTAGTAGCTAAGTAGTAGCAGTAGTAGTAGTAGTAGTAGTAGTAGTAGTAGTACTGCTGCTGCTGTTACTACTACTACTACTACTGCTACTGCTACTGCTACACTAGTACTACTACTACTACTACTACTACTACTACTTCTACTCCTACTCCTACTCCTACTCCTGCTGCTGCTGCTGCTGCTACTACTACTACTACTACAACAACAACTACTACTACTACTTCTACTACTACTACTACTACTACCACTACTACTACGACTACGACTGCGACCCTACGACTACGACTCTACGACTACGACTACGACTACGACTACTACGACTATAACGGCTACTACTACTGCCGCTACTACTACTTCTACTACTGCTGATACTACCGCTGCTACTACTACTACTACTACTACTACTACTGCTACTACTACTACTACTACTACTACTACTACTACTACTACTACTACTACTACTACTACTCGTACTACTACTACTACTACTACTACTGATATGACTAGTATTTCTACTACTACTACTACTACTACTACTTTTACTTGTACATTTATTTTTTAGTTTTACGTTTACTACTACTACTACTACTACTACTACTGCTACTGCTACTGCTACTGCTACTGCTGCTGCTACTACTTTTGCTCCTACTCCTATTCCTACTACTGCTACTACTACTACTACTACTACTGCTACTGCTACTGCTACTGCTGCTACTGCTGCTGCTGCTGCTGCTACCACTACTGCTACTACTACTACTACTACTACTGCTGCTACTACTACTACTACTACTACTACTACTACTACTACTACTACTACTACTACTACTACTACTACTACTACTACTACTACTACTACTACTACTACTACTACTACTACTACTACTACTACTACTACTACTACTACTACTGCTACTACTACTACTACTACTACTACTACTACTACTACTACTATACTACTACTACTACTACTACTACTACTACTACTACTACTACTACTACTACTACTACTACTACTACTACTACTACTACTACTACTACTAACAACAACAACCAGGTACCCTTACCTGGGGTCCTAGCTGTACCTGGCGAGTGTCGGGAACGAGCAGACAGCTGTTCAAAGCGGTGCCGTTTGAGAGGGGGTCGGGAGATTTGAGCACGAGCCTCTCGTGCTCTTGGAAGTAGAAGTGCCATGCAGGGGGAGAGGGGTGGGGACAGTTCTTGGATCATGGGAGCTGCTGGCGGACAGCCGAAATAATGAAGGATCTGATCTCCGCCGACCGCGCCGTAGCCGATGCTGCAACTCATGGTTCCCTGTCAGCATTCCGCGGTCGTCGGTCAGGCATTGTTGATACTTCGCTGGGTGCTCGCGCCAAAGAAAGGGGCGAATCTTGGCGGCATATAGAATGGTGCGACCACATTTCAGCAACTTGAGAGGAGGTCACACCATGCACCATGAGCAGTGCGCGGGTGATCGACGCGGGGAGTGACAATGGCGCACAGACAGGGGGTGTCGACGCGGAAGGGTAAAGCATTGCGCATCTCACGCTGGATGTCGTTGCCGTCTTCGCTGAACGGCGGGCACATGCTACAGAGCTGGTGGACATGTCTCATCGGCGAAAAGTGAACCGAGCTCCCCGTCCACTCTATCTCCCTCGACGCGAGAAGGCGCTCGTTGTTCGCCTGTTCCCCCAGGTGGTGCTGGTTGCGGGATTTGTTTGCAGCTCTACTTCTGCGCGCAGCTCGGTGCATGGCTGCTCTGTTCGTGCATTCTAGGTACCGAGCGCGAAATGTGAGCCCGAAGCGATCAGCATGACGAAACGTGCCAGTGTGGAAAACGTTACCTGCCCTGAATCTTCAATTTACCGAACTCCTTTGTTGACGAGGTAGAACGCCAACGCGTGCGAGAGCACGCTGAAGGCAACTGCATGGTAGCAGACCGTACTTCGGGTCAGTCCGAGATGCGCGCTTTCGATGTACCCGACGCGCCCCGGGAACTTGCCGCAGGGTGGCGGCCCGAGACTTGCAGGGCCCGCCAGGCCCGATCAGCTCTAAAGGTGAAGCCCAAACGCCGAAACTGTCAGGTCAGAGATGTCTCCCCCGATGTTCCGGGAGAGATCTCGCATTTCGTGGGCGGGCCGGGCGCGGATAACGGCGATGCTTATCCTCTTCGCAGTCGCCCGCAGGCTTCGTGGGTGCCAGGGGTGGTGCGTGAACTCTCCGCGAGTGTTCCGCCAGAGCAGCCGCGTCCTCTTCGCGGGGTGGTTGCGTGCCTGAGCAACAGAGGCTGGCGACGCCGCGTGGGAAACCAACTTCGGAACGGCAAGTGAAGGTGCAGAACTTCGTTCGGATCGCGCCCCTCCTGCCCAGCTCCAGGGGGCCTGCCCGTTCCTCGCTTCCTCGCTGACTCACTCGTGATTCCGAGCTCCACAAAATGGGTGCAACTCCC